CAGGATGAAGGGATATAAGAACGCCAGAGTGTGAGGAGTTCTCATTAAAACCGCTCAAAAGATAACACCTCATTAGATTTAAAAAAGCAAGGAAAAAATAGTAAGTGGAGGCGTGGTACAAGGATATAGGAAATGTGAATAGCCCATGGTAGATGGAGGGATACCACAACTGTTTAGTACACGTTTGGTCAAAGTATCGGCTTCATTTGTCTCTTTGACGAGTTGTAGTATGGCGCTATGAGTGGCAGAACTCGCTGATGATACCGGCGAAACGTCTGGGAATGCACTACGTCCACGGACCGACCCTGGAAATGGACTATGAACTAGGTGTTTTACTCTGTCTTCCTACCAATATGACAAGGTCAAACAACTTCTATACAATGAAGGAGACTGCGACCATACAAAAGGCCACATCATCTTGGTCTTCATATCTTCGATGAAAGCTAAATGAAATTCAATACCCTCGTAAGACCTGTTCAAATTATTGCATAATTCCTCTACCCTTATAGCTACCTAAGATGATCTTAGTTCTTATCTCAAAAAAAAACGTTTCAGAGAGAGTATCTGCTCCCTAATATGAGTGTTTGGTGTTTTTATCGTCAATAGTTATATTTTATTTAGTGGATTGAATTTAATCTAAATTACAGCTCTATCCATTCTTTTTTAGCTCCCTTATAAAATCAAGAGTCGGGATGTTACTGTGGATATTAGACGGCGTCAGCTGACTGTTGGCATTAAAGGACACCCGCCTATACTGGATGGTGAACTTTACAATGAAGTCAAGGTTTGAGTCTTGTTCCATACATTTTACCCCCACATATTTTTATAGTGAGTTTTTATAAGCCGAGAACTAGCGTTTAGTGGTACCGGAATGGTTCTATGTTTTCGGACTGGGCAGTACGCTTGGATTAGCATCTCTTATAAACAGAATCAAGGCCGATACATTAAAATAAATCACTATGTTTGTGATTTTTAACTCTGCTTCCTAATTTATAATATCTAGCAGCTTGCCTCTAATCAAAGACTTTGTTTAAAACGGCGAACTTTAGTCCTGACTTTGCTTCGGCTATGCATTTTGATTTCTTTACATAACGTAGTTTTTTCAAGCTTTCCGGCTTAAATACTCATTTGATTCGGATTATAACTGTTATAGCAGAAATGCCAATTTAATCCAAACCTGGAAACTCAGTCTTAACGTTGCCAAAGTTATTACATGCTCTACATTGCCGCAAAATCATTGCGTGTAGCAGATCAGCGAATAATGATGATTGGTTCGAATAGCTATATAGATAGATATTTATGAAATCTGGCTTCGTAAGTGACTTCCATCTACACCTAGACCATTACTTTGTGAGAATTTTATCATTCATATTCAACACATGCATAAATCTTATTAATTATTTGACCGCTCGTTTTTAAATAATTGTTGTAGTCACCATAAACCACATGGGATAATGAGGGACTGATAACTCAGGATTCTTAGTGATATGATGCCTTCTAATTTATCTTAGTACTGCAGCATGAACTGCGGTACTGAGGCCCCTAACGAGAATTTAATCAGTTTTTTTGCAGATTACCATTTTGAATGGGCCCTGCATTTAATTTTGCCTCTGGTTCCCCAAGGGGCTAAAAATATGGCCTCTTCAACCAAAGGCAGATTAATTTTTTTATCACAACCTTCAAATATATGCCCTTGCTATTCTTTTTATTTTTATTCGATCTTTTTTAAGGTGGAAGAATGCTCCTGGAGCCTGGAAGATGGTCTGGTGATATCGGTGAGTATAGAGAAGATAAATCGAATGGAATGGTGGAGCCGTATAGTAGCAGGCGAGCCGGAGATCAACACGCGTAAGGTTCAGCCCGAGAACTCGAAGTTATCCGATTTGGACGGCGAGACACGCTCAATGGTTGAGAAAATGATGTATGACCAGCGCCAAAAAGAGATGGGTCTACCAACTTCAGAAGAGCAGAAGAAGCATGATATGCTGAAAAAGTTCATGGAAGCTCATCCTGAAATGGATTTCTCGAAATGCAAATTTGGTTAGTCTGGACTCGAATTCTTTGACCAAGATATTTTCCACCCTATCTCTGTGCGTTACTTCCTCTGGCTTGTGTATTTCGTCCGGGCCATTGGCAATCACCTTTTCTTTTATACTCCTTGTGAATTTTCACCACTTAGTTTTCCATTTTCTCCTCCACGCAAATTGCGTTGTTACAATTTTCCCAATGAAGACCTATCGAAATAACGTGTTTGATACTGTTTAAAGTCTTTTCCACTTGATGCTTATTCGTTGGAGTCTATTTACGTATAAATTACGACCATATAGATGCAGCGATTATCCCCCACTTTGTGGACGTATGCCTAATCTCTGAGCCTTGAATATAATTTACATTCCCCTGGCCAGATCTAAATTCTTCAGTCTATCCATTTATCCATCACGGCTGGCTAATAGACGGAAAAAACCATAGTACTCTCAACACCGGACTACAGGAAGGTCGGGACATGGCTGCCTTGGAGCCATGTTATCTTTTCTACAATAATTTTCGTTATTCGTTACTAGCCTATTGCTTGCTGCTTGCTCGATTAGTCCTCTACCCCGCTCTCACTGTGGTATTATTGACATTTTCCTTTCCGAGGCTACTCACATATGATGATGGAACAAGGTATTGGCGCTAGGCAGGATTCAGAAGAGGTTGAGGGACGTTTTCTTTTAGCCATTTTGCATGACAATCTTCATAGCTATTGATTGCTGAGTCAATAGATAAATACAAATATTTGGGATAGATGGACCGACACAGTATATTACGAAAGCCGTAGTAAGTTAATTGGAACCGCGAGGGTAAACTCAACGACTCCACTGGAATCGAAGTAAAAGCAGGCGAGGTTGCTTCAGGTGAGCATAGGAGAAGGAATATATCACGAGTTAGAAAAAAAGCGATTATTAAGGCAAAAAGGAGGTAAAGGGAGTAAAAAAAGTAATAATAGTGACGGCAGTACGATAGGAATGTAAAGTTTGTACGATTGTAATTTAGTAGGTAAGTGTGGGCCCTGTCCGTTGAATAAGAATGTCGATCAGTTTGGTGAAAAAAGAGGAAAATGGGTGCACTGACGAGGGCAGGTGTCCGGGCGGAGGTTCAAAATATGGGCGCAGCTCAAAGTGCATGAAAGGGCGAAGAATGTATAGGCGATCAATACATGAGTAATACAATTAAAGTGTAATTATCCCAATAAAGGTGGTCAACTTAGAAGGCTGACAGGTGAGTAGCCTGCTGGAAGGATGAAAAATAACGAAAATAAACCAAATTTATCAGCGGGCCCTCATTGCGCGCTGAAAATAAGT